TTAAACTAATGAGAATAACTCACATTTGAGTGAGTCAGGTTAATATTGTAATTAAACAACATTTGATGAATAGATGGCTGCGGAACTCGCTGCGCTTGTCCCGCAGAGGTCCACCCATAAGTTCCGCAACAATTCACTAATTTGTACTTGAATAACTTGTTACAATATATTACTAGTTTGGTAAAGTAACATTACTAATTCCTGTTGACAGGCGAATTGACAAAAAGTGGATAATCTTACAAATTCTGACTTTATATAATAAGTTATTGTTCAAGTACAGAGTGTTTTTTTTATATATTGACATCCCACCTACAGCCTTCACCTTTACAAGTAGATGAAAGGTGTAAATACAAAAGTTGTACAGTATTGGCTAAATTTTTAAAATCCATGATCAGAAACAAAAATTGAATGTCAGAAATGTGAAATGTGGCATGGTATAACGCTATATGACAACGGCTTTTATCAGTAGAATTTACATTGATATCAGTATATCAGTAGACCAGTGGCTAAATCAGTAGATCTACTGATAAATCAGTAGACCTGGCAACATTGCGCCAGGGTCTCGCAGAGAGAAAACAACCAATTGGCTTCATCCCGTAACCAGGTTTAAGACAGGTAAAGTGAAGACAGAGTCTCCATCTATTTTTTGGTCGGCACACCAAGTGCGCACATTGAATACCCTATATTGGACCAACATTTTCAATTCAGAAAATCTAACCTTAGTAAAAATTAGTAGGTATGCAAATATTGGCCCTTCATTGGGCTTTTCAAAAAGTATCAATATTGTAAAAAAATTGAAAATAAATATTGGGTGTACAAAGTTTTTGAAGTGAATTTAAATATCAATAAAAAATTGAATGCCAATATTGAATTAATATTATATTACAATATTGTTTCGATAATATAAAATGTAATATTTGGCCAATATTTCATAAATGAATATTGTAGTGAGAAGTCTTGGGCCAATATTCAAATTACTGAAAAGTTAATTAATCTATGAAAACAATATTGGTACAAGATTATTTTTAAATATTGTTTCCACATATTTAAAACAAACGTTGCCCCAATATTGGTACTGTGTTGATTTAGCAACAAAAATGAATAAATATTGGCTCAACTGAAAAACGATGTTTACCCTATATTATGTGCTACTTGGGTTCCTTCTGCTCCTTGTTTGGCTCCGAGCGAAAATTTATTCCAATACACACAATAAACATTCTTATTTCTTACAAGGATTGTATAAGCCAAATACATCAACTAAGCAACAGGAAGCAACTTGCCGGCAAATACCTGTGTCAATCAACACCACGTTAATATAAGATCTATCCGATGCTCATTATATAGCCATATTTCCTAGGCCTTCGAAAGTATCAACTCGTTGCCCAACAACCAAGATAATGATTCTCAAAGGAGTATTCTTAATCAGTTTACCACCAGCATGCAAATTCAGAACTTCCAGTTAAAACTTCTTGAATGAGAAAACTGTAATCCAAGAAGAACCATAAACACTTCCCAGAATACACATATAAGAAAAGATGATCGGCAACCCCAAGGAAAGCTTCTGAAACTTAAAATGAATATCGTTGTTTTTTACGAATTTTCACGGATTCACGTAGGTATTCAAACACTTGGCAATACTGAATTGATTTGATCCAAAGAACTAGATTTTGAATAAAACAAAGATCGATTATTAGTTTCTGAAAAAAGCTCTTTTGACTATGACTATGAGGATAGCTGGCTATTCTTGATCTAACTTAGGTCAATATTCAACAACGAAAATATTTCTGGGTTTAATAATGCCAGAAGGACTTGTGGTTACTTAACAGGGAGTTTAGCATTTGCAGAACAAAATATCTTAAAAATATCAATAATAAATAATTGCTTTTCCCTAATTGTCTACCACTCGGTCTATCATTTCACTATCTACACCTCATTAGCTTAACAAGCTTATTAGTCAAAAAAATAATTGCTGTATTGAAACAATGTAACGCATGTAATACTACGCATTGTGCAATGATAACAATTCATTTTGGATAATGATTAAATAATTATTCTAATCCTAAAAAAATACTGTGTTTTTTTTTCTTTTCAAACACCAACAAAGATGCCAAACAATTAAAAGAGATAATTGTAAATTATGTCACAAAAGAGGACAGGACATAATAAATTACTTCATGGTCAGTTACATTACCAAAATTTGTGTAAATTGTTGACGTTTTTTGGCCAGGGTATGGTTTGGATTTTGCACGCAGTCGGCTTTTAAGAATAACGACCTTGTATTAATAATAGCATCGCTTTGTTTTCTTAATCTGGAACACATTTTAGATTTCGAAGAAATTCGAAAAGTTTCTCAATCACAAAACCCATAACACGTGTCATTAGTCCCCCTACCTACCCCGATCGTGTATTATTAGCAGATAAGGGCGCTTTCGGAACTCCTTAATAGACACCTAAGGCTATCTGGAAACGAACAGAAGGACCCTTGGTTAGTAAATTTATCCCCCGCCCTTTTGCCCTTCATAACCCGTAGTGCAATCTACGTCTTATATTACCCTTGGAGAAGTTATTCACTAAATTAATAGACCGTGCAGGTTTGTAAATGATGAGAATAGGACGCTCTAGAACAAGAGATTGATGACGTTTGCTTCAGGAAATTTGATTATAATATTACAAATTCATTTGAGAGAAACATAAATAGAGCCGTTCTTCCGGCTTTTTTGTTTTTTCAATCTGTTTTTATGAAATATCGCTAGGAAAATAAGTTGGTTTGTTTAAGGCTGTGGCCACCCATCGATACATGGCTATAGATTAACATATCCTGTGTTTTGTTTTCGACTTTCATAACAAACATTCTTTGGGGTGGTCAAATCAAGGTGATGTGAAATTGGAAGGATAGTCAGAAGTGTGATTACAATAATTTACATTATCAAGTTTTTGTTTCAAAGAAATATTAAGTAAGTATAGAATATTATACGGATTGAATCACAAAAGTTTATATTTACTCTGTAAAATAATGTTCTTTTTTGCAAGGTCCTAGTACTCCTAGTTGATCATTAATCTCTGATCCTTGTAGCCTGATGCCTCTTGATGTTTTTCTTGGCATGAAGTTATGATTTCAAAGAAAATTAGGGAAAATCTTATTTTGTGTTTCCAAATGTTTTTTGAAATCCTTAATTTTCCATATCTTAATTGGAGTTTGAACAAATTGGAATAAATTATATATCATTAAGAAGAGTTTTTATAAATCTGTGCTAAATTCTAAATTGGTTCTGATAGCTTGCTGAGCATTGAGCAGATGATGTCTCAAAGTTGAAGTTTATTCGAAAAAATTTCGAAAACCGCCCCTGGATTCTCTAGCCTCTATTTTACATAGAGCGTTGGCAAAAGCAAATAAATAACGCTAGATTAAAGTAAATGCAGTGTGAATAGAGAGAGGGGTCGGTTGTCGCTCTGCTGCTAATTTTAGTGAGCAAAAGTAGGCTGATGGTTGAATGCAAATCAATCACTTTTGTTGATTTATTCACTTATTTTGTTGATTAGTTTTTGTATTATGAATTCATTCAAAGATGCTCTAAAAGTCTCAATTTGAGTTATGAATGATGCTCTAAAACTTTTAAATAGAAATTTAGATGAAAGCAATTTTTTCTTTCGTCTTTCATTTTGCTCAAAAAATGATTTTGAGACTGAGATCTACTAATATGCAAGATAAATGAAAATTGTGAAAAACAATTATTAAATTGGTGCCAAAATCATAAATTTTGAAGCTAAATGCTCCATCTATGTTGACTTCAGCAACATTCTTATCTGGTAAATAGTAAACCATTCTGATTAGGTACTTTACCTTCGCCAATGTCCAGAAAAATTAGGAGTTACATAAGTAGCGCCATCTTTTGAAAACATAAATCACTAAAATATCGATGTCTGATGCCTTCGCCAACTTGGCAAGAGAAACAATGTAATTTCTGTTAATAATACATTTAATAATAATGCAAACGTATGGTTGATTCAAAGTTGATGCATTTGAATCCAAAAAATGATCTAAATTTGTTAGGTTTTTTCATTGAAATATCAAGAGACAATAACTGTCTGCCAATTTGTCAAGAAAAACGAAATCTTTCTATAGATGTGTAGGTCATAATTATCTGCCTATGGTTGGGCTTTTATAGAAACCAAATTCTGCTATCAATTCCATTGTTACTATGAAAATTCTATTCTACAATAATACAGTATGTCTAATATTTTTATTTATTAAATTCGCCAAACTGTCCACAAATAATCTTCATATAATTTGAATTTGTTTAACAAAGTTTCTATATTCTCATTAAAACTCTAAATATAATGTCAATTGATGATTTTTGTACTGCATTGCAACAATCGATTAGCTCCAAATAACTCACTAAAAACTTTTCACACATAGCTGTGATATCGCGCTATATTTACTTCCCTATTAAATGTATTTCAATGAAACCTCCCCCTTTATGTTTGATCAATATTAATCAAACCCCAGTCTATTTCAAGACCTTTTTCTAAGATAATTAAGTTTAATTCTTGATATGAGAGTTTTTTTGGTAGTTAAAAAATGTTGTTTGAAAACGTTTTTCTAATGCATGAAAATAAGGTTTGTTATAAATAAATCTTCATGCTTGCTCACTGTTTTCAAACCCACCTATTTTTAATACCTAGATGCACAATTATTTATAAACGCAATGCAATGGGTTGTTTAAATTAGCATTATAATCAAACATTGATAGTGATAATTTTTGCTAGAATCATGTTTTTTTTCCTAAATTTATAGTGATATCATAGCAAAAGAAATCAGGTGAGTGAAAAATATGTAGTTGAAAATTATTTATTATGGTCTAAATGACCATGACATCTTCAGCTCATTATGGTAAAGTACTAGTAGGAAATTAAAGTAGCTACCCCACGCATATTTCCTTTTTCAAATTCAAATAAAAATCTTCTTGTGTGTGTTATTCTTTAATATAAACAGGTAGTTTATTACGTAAAAGAAAATAGTGTTTATTAGAGGAACAATTTCATAAATAATTATGTTAGTTGTAATTGTAATTGCTTTTTGTTGTAGTTTTATTTTTTTCTATCGGAAAGCTTTAATAAATGGTAAGGATTGATTTTATATTTTGGAAAAAATCTACAATAGAATGACTCATTTGCAAAATAAGGTAACAGTTATGTGTTAGGAACGATCACAGATTTTTCAATGTAGGTACCTAAATCAAACTTAAAATAATAAGGTACTAAGAGCTGGTATTTCAATGTTACCTTAAAATCAAAATTCACTTATATCATCCTAATGTTAAGGTAAACTTGAAATCAATTTCTTTGGGTGACATTCATTGGAAAACCGGCCCTAACTTTATGATTTGATTAGATTTTTTCTGGTCACCTCCCTGTCAAGGTTTCAAAAAATATTCCAATCTAGATTTCAGATAAACTCAAGAAATCTCTTCTGTCTGATTATTTTGTATAGGTTGATAGGTTGATTTTAATCTTCTTTAGAGCAAAATTCAAATAAAAATTTGTACATACTTTATTTCCAGCTTTTGACCATTTGATCCAGGGTAAAAACTGAACTAATTCAACTAAAATAACATTAAAATCTCATTCTCGGCTATCCAAAAGCTAAAAATATTTCAGAGATTTTCATTATTTTAGAGCTAGAGAGCTAATTTTTATTTTCTATAGTGAAAAAGTGTGGAAACTGGTTTTGACCATTCCAGAATAAAAGCTAAAGTTTTAATTCAACTGGAATAACATTTAAATCTTATTCCCGGCTCTCCTAAAGCCAGAAGTAAGTACCTTTTATTTCGAGATTTTGTGTTTAAATGATCATTTGAGACCCTCCAAACTCCCCTATTAAATTACACTAATATTTGAAGCCGAAATCTATGAAAAAAGACAATCAAAAAAATTAAAAAATTGATAATTTATCCCAAATTGCTTAACGCAAGTTTATTTCTGAAACTATCAGTCCCAAATGAGCTGAAATTTTCAGGAATTGTAATCGTTCTATAATAGAAGAAAAGTTATAATCTTTCAAAGTTGTCAGAGATCTAAATTATAAGGTACAAATATGTGGATTATTGCGGAACTTATGAGTGGATCTGTTCCGCAGCCATCTACTCACCAATATACTGTTGAACTGTTCAAATAAAACATTCACCTGAAACATGTAGTTTGTGAACTAATGAGAAAAATTCATAACTGAGTGAATCAGATTAGTATTGTACTTGAACAACATGTTGGTAAATACATGGCTGGGACCACCCATAAGTTCCGCAACAATCCACTCGCTTGTACTTGAATAATTTGTCATAATATTACTAGTTTGGTAAAGTAATATTACTAATTTCTGTTGAAAGGCAAATTGATAAAAAGTGGATAATCTTACAAATTCTGACTTTATATAATAAGTTATTTTTCAAGTACAATTAAGTGGATTGTTGCGGAACTTATGGTGGACCTCTGCGGGACGAGCGCAGCGAGTTCCGCAGCCATCTACTCACCATATATTGTTGAACTGTTCAAGTAACACATTCACCTGGAACATATAGTTTTTAAACTAATGAGAATAACTCACATTTCAGTGAGTCAGGTTAGTATCGTAATTAAACAACATATTGATGAATAGATGGCTGCGGAACTCGCTACGCTCGTCCCGCAGAGGTCCAATCCATAAATTCCATAACAATCCACTCATTTGTACTTGAAAAACTTGTCACATTATATTACTAGTTCAATAAAGTAACATTACTAATTCCTGTTGAAGGACGAATTCACAAAAAATGGATAATCTTACAAACTTTGACTTTATATAATAAGTTATTTTTCAAGTACAAATAAGTGAATTGTTGCGGAACTTATGGGTGGACCTCTGCGGGACGAGCGCAGCGAGTTCCGCAGCCATCTACTCACCAATATACTGTTGAACTGTTCAAGTAACACATTCACCTGGAACATATAGTTTTTAAACTAATGAGAATAACTCACATTTCAGTGAGTCAGGTTAGTATCGTAATTAAACAACATATTGATGAATAGATGGCTGCGGAACTCGCTGCGCTCGTCCCGCAGAGGTCAATCCATAAATTCCATAACAATCCACTCATTTGTACTTGAAAAACTTGTCACATTATATTACTAGTTCAATAAAGTAACATTACTAATTCCTGTTGAAGGACGAATTCACAAAAAGTGGATAATCTTACAAACTTTGACTTTATATAATAAGTTATTTTTCAAGTACAAATAAGTGAATTGTTGCGGAACTTATGGGTGGACCTCTGCGGGACGAGCGCAGCGAGTTCCGCAGCCATCTACTCACCAATATACTGTTGAACTGTTCAAGTAACACATTCACCTGAAACATATAGTTTTTAAACTAATGAGAATAACTCACATTTCAGTGAGTCATGTTAGTATCGTAATTAAACAACATATTGATGAATAGATGGCTGCGGAACTCGCTGCGCTCGTCCCGCAGAGGTCAATCCATAAATTCCATAACAATCCACTCATTTGTACTTGAAAAACTTGTCACATTATATTACTAGTTCAATAAAGTAACATTACTAATTCCTGTTAAAGGGCGAATTCACAAAAAGTGGATAATCTTACAAACTTTGACTTTATATAATAGGTTATTTTTCAAGTACAAAGAAAGTGGATTGTTGTAGAACTTATGGGTGGACCTCTGCGGGACGAGCGCAGCGAGTTCCGCAGCCATCTACTCACCAATATACTGTTGAACTGTTCAAATAAGACATTCACCTGAAACATGTAGTTTTTAAACTAATGAGAATAACTCACATTTCAGTGAGTCAGGTTAGTATCGTAATTAAACAACATATTGATGAATAGATGGCTGCGGAACTCGCTACGCTCGTCCCGCAGAGGTCAATCTATGAATTCCTTAACAATCCACTCATTTGTACTTGAACAACTTGTCACATCATGTTACTAGTTCAATAAAGTAACATTACTAATTCCTGTTGAAAGACGAATGACAAAAAGTGGATAAACTTACAAACTTTGACTTTATATAATAAGTTATTTTTCAAGTACAAATAAGTGAATTGTTGCGGAACTTATGGGTGGGACCTCTGCGGACGAGCGCAGCGAGTTCCGCAGCCATCTACTCACCAATATACTGTTGAACTGTTCAAATAAGACATTCACCTGAAACATGTAGTTTTTAAACTAATGAGAATAACTCACATTTCAGTGAGTCAGGTTAGTATCGTAATTAAACAACATATTGATGAATAGATGGCTGCGGAACTCGCTACGCTCGTCCCGCAGAGGTCAATCTATGAATTCTTTAACAATCCACTCATTTGTACTTGAACAACTTGTCACATCATGTTACTAGTTCAATAAAGTAACATTACTAATTCCTGTTGAAAGACGAATTGACAAAAAGTGGATAAACTTACAAACTTTGACTTTATATAATAAGTTATTTTTCAAGTACAAATAAGTGAATTGTTGCGGAACTTATGGGTGGACCTCTGCGGGACGAGCGCAGCGAGTTCCGCAGCCATCTACTCACCAATATATTGTTGAACTGTTCAAGTAACACATTCACCTGAAACATATAGTTTTTAAACTAATGAGAATAACCCACATTTGAGTGAGTCAGGTTAGTATCGTAATTAAACAACATATTGATGAATAGATGGCTGCGGAACTCGCTACGCTCGTCCCGCAGAGGTCAATCCATAAATTCCATAACAATCCACTCATTTGTACTTGAAAAACTTGTCACATTATATTACTAGTTCAATAAACTAACATTACTAATTCCTGTTAAAAGACGAATTAACAAAAAGTGGATAATCTTACAAATTCTGACTTTATATAATAGGTTATTTTTCAAGTACAAATAAAGTGGATTGTTGTAGAACTTATAGGTGGACCTCTGCGGGACGAGCGCAGCGAGTTCCGCAGCCATCTACTCACCAATATACTGTTGAACTGTTCAAATAAGACATTCACCTGAAACATGTAGTTTTTAAACTAATGAGAATAACTCACATTTGAGTGGGTCAGCTTAGTATCATAATTAAACAACATATTGATGAATAGATGGCTGCGGAACTCGCTGCGCTCGTCCCGCAGAGGTCCACCCATAAGTTTCGCAACAATTCACTCATTTGTACTTGAATAACTTGTCATATTATGTTACTAGTTTGGTAAAGTAACATTACTAATTCCTATTAAAAGATAAATTGACAAAAAGTGGATAATCTTACAAATTCTGACTTTACATACTAAGTTATTATTCAAGTACAGAGTGTTTTTTTATATATTGACACCTCACCTACAGCCTTCACTTTTACATGTAGATCAAAGGTGTAAATACAAAAGTTGTACAGTATTGGCTACATTTTCAGAATCCATGGTCAGAAACAAAAATTGAATGTGAGAAATGTGAAATGTTGCATGCTTTTAGCTTTTTTCAAATGGGAAGCCCTATATTTGGTTCTATCTTGAAGAGTAAAATTTCCCGATTCCAAAACTATATAGTTTGTCTTTATTTGGTTGAGCCGGCTCTAACATGTTTGGTTCTAAAAATTTTGAAAATACTATCAGAAAAATTAAGTACCTACCTCAAATTTTATCTGCAACTTTCACCTATACAGGTAGAATGGTTCACAAAATCAGTACCTATAGTAGGATAGTATTTTTACAATATTTGGAGCCGAATATATGAGAGACTGTTCAATCAAATATAGACAAACTATATATTTTTGGAAGCGGCACTCTTCAAGAATATAGAATGAAATATAGGGTATCCCATTTGAAAAAAGCTGGAAGTATGCAGAATTTCACTTTTCTGACATTCAAATTTTGTTTCTGCCCATGGTTTCTAAAAATTCAGCCAAAACTGTACAACTTTTGTATTTACACCTTTCTTCTACCTCATTGATTCTCAAACTGGGTTCCGCAAAGGGTCGACTGGGGTTCCGCGAGCAGTCAATAAAATATTAAAAAAAAAACAATTGTGGAATCACCCAACAATAATATCGTGTCATGAAAATAAAAAAATATTCTTAGTATTCCCCTTTCTTCTTATCTGTATTCGAGGTTGCTTATTTATAAATTTGACTTTATTTCCCGGGGATTAAATGAAACAGGTATCAAAAGGGTACTTTTGATCCCTCTAAAGTAAATAAAATAGTGTATGTCAAGACTAAAGTGTTTTTTTATCCCTCGACAAATTAATTATACTTTTTGTATCGGGATTGAATTAGAAGTACCACTTCAGTTCCTAGGTACCTACCTAAATAATATACTAATGTAGGTACCTAACTATTTTGTTTTATTTGCTCCTTATTTAAAAGCTTAATACCTAAGTAGTTAGTATTAATGTCTAGATTTTGACACAAAACAACATTATGTCTTATATATAAGTATGAGTTCCTTAAAAAAAAAAGTGCGCTCTAGGGTTCCTTATTCTACAAAAGATTGAGAACCACTATTCTACCTATAAAGGTAAAGGCTGTAGGTGGGGTGTCAATACATAAAAAAACACCCTATACCTATCTTAGTACTAAAATGATGAAATTTCAAATTTTTTTATGTTGAGATTTTGTGTCCTAATGGTCGTTTGGGATCCCCCAAATTCCATATACTAAATTATTCTCAGATTTGAAGCCGAAATTTATGAAAAATTGATAATCTACCCCAAATTGCTTAACGCGATTTTATTTCTGAGACTATAAGTCCAAATAAGCTGAACTTTTCAGGAATTGACGTCCTCAACTGGGATAAGAATCACTGAAAATTTCAGCTTTCTATCTCTAAAGGGTCATTTACATCCACCTAACTTAACGTACGGCAAATTAATAATAAAGAAAAGTTAAAGATCATGTACCTATATAAACATACACCTCAGTTTCGTACGTAAATTATCATTTTCCGTACGTTAAGTTAAGTGGATATAAAGGACCCTTAATATAAAAAAAATTATGATTTTTCAAACTTTTCAAAAATCCAAATCATAAAGTAGGTAAATAAATATAAAACTACACCATTTCAACCTCAATTTCGGAAAAAGTAACTTTTTTTTAGGAAAATGTAAAGTCATTTTCGGAAAAAGTCAAATCAATTTCAGAATTAGTAAAGGTAATTTTGGAAAAAGAGAATTCAAATTCGGAAAAAGTACATTCAATTACGGAGAAAGTAATGTTATTTTTTTTTAGGATAATTTGAATCTATTGAGTTATTTGTCCATATTACCTATATAAGTCTACAAATTGTTCATTATTTTATTCACTTAATAGTGACATGTGTTTTGTTCATACGAGCATCATCAGACCTACAAAATAATATAGAGAACCTTATTAAAGTACAAAGTACACAGGTCTTGGTTGGAATCGAACCCATCAGGGTACCGGTTCGACTCGAGGTATACAGGGTGTGAAAAAAATTGTGTACCGGACTTTGAGAGGTGATGGAAACTATATACCCTTTCAGAACTGTTGCGACTTTTTTTACTATCGCCATTCTCTGTGGCATCGAAATGTATGCAAGAATACCAAATTTCAAGGAAAATAGTTTGCCCTTGTTCTTGATAATAAATAAAATCCATTATTTTCATATACCGTTTGAAGCGCTGTAACTTCTTCAGAGAGCATCTTAGGGCATATGTTCATAGAACCTAATTAAAGTTAAGTACACTAACTGGAGGTTTATAGTCACTGCTAAATTTACTTTTCATCAATTCACATTATTCTAAAAAATAACATCACTTTCTCCGTAACTGAATGTACTTTTTCCGAATTTGAATTTACTTATTCCGAAATTAACTTTACTTTTTCTGAAATTGATTTGACTTTTTCCGAAAATGACTTTACATTTTCCTAAATAAAAGTTACTTTTTCCGAAATTGAGGTTGAAATGGTGTAGTACCTATAGAGAAGTTCAAAAGTATTATTTCAGAGCTACATCAGGATCGATCTAGAAAACTCATTTCAATCTTCTATAGAGCTAAATTCAACTAAAAAACTGTGAAAACTTCATTTTGTTTCCATCCAAATGAACTGAAATTTTCAGGGTTTGTAGGGTTCTACTTATACAAACTTAAAATTCATGATTTGGTTATAAATTTCTGATCGTCTCCCTGTCAAGGTAAATTGCTGACAATTTACTGGTAAAGTTTAAACTAAAAGCAACACTTTTGACAGGAGGGAAAATGTTTCCATATCTCATCGAAGACAGTAAAAGATCGTCGAAGTCCCCTTTATCGTTAAAGGAGAAGGCCATCGAAGAATTAAACCATCGAACCACCATCAGCCAAGTACCTGTCTTGCTTCCAAATATTAGTTTTTTATCTCAAAGTAAGTAAAGCACAAAAACATATGGGTTTTGTATAAAAAATTATCATAACAATTGAAAGAATAAACTTCAAAGTGATTTGTCACCACAGTTGAGTGACAAAAATATATACAAAATTGATGTAAATATTTAAAAACCAAATGTATTTATTCGGATTTGGTAAAAATGAGCTTAAAAGTAGGTAAGAATATTTGCATTATATCATTACAAAATTAATTAATTTCTCTTCTACCAAAACTCAACTCATTGTTGCAAAATTTTGTTAAGTCGATAAAATTTCTTTTGTGCATTGAATTTTGGTTCATTAATCCAAAAACGTAATAGATTTTCTATCCAGGAATTTAGCTATAAATTTGCTAATACCTTATACCCAGTCTTCATTCAATTTAGAGTCGCCTTATTATAAGAATATATTTTTATTGAGAATGATATGAATAATTATTATAATAATAAAATTGAAAGTAAGGTTTTTCTTGTACCTAATTAGAAAATATTCTTGATACATTTTTCTCTCAGATTCATCGTCACCCCCTGGTAGTCCACCAAAGTCACCGACACCGAAAAAAGGTTTTCGTAACAGTACCAGCCGAAGAGACTCGTCCAGTTTCGATTATAAATCGGAAGCTGCAAAAAAAGTCGAACTAATTGCGAAAAACCGAGACGAACGTCGACAACGTCAAGCGGACGAAAAAGCTCAGAAGGACATGATGATCCACCTAGAACAGAACAACCCTTATTTTGAATTCGCTCAGATGATCAACGAGTTTCGAAGCGCTGTCGAATTTAGGCCTTTGAGAGAAAATGATTCTGTTGTGGAAAATCAAATAACTGTAAAAAATTATAGTAGGTAGTTGGAAAACATTCTGATGCTAAAATGGTTTTAGGTTTGTGTAAGAAAACGACCCCTTAACGAAAAAGAAGAACGACGAAAAGAAGTGGATGTTATGACTGTGAACACCAAAAACCAGCTAATAGTCCACGAACCGAAACAAAAAGTGGATTTGACCAAATATTTGGAAAATCAACATTTCAGGTTCGATTATGTATTTGATGAAGGTTGCAACAATGACATTGTTTACAAATTTACTGCCAAACCTTTGGTCAGAACGATTTTTGAAGGTGGCATGGCTACTTGCTTTGCCTACGGCCAGACTGGTTCTGGCAAAACTCATACCATGGGTGGAGAATTTCGGGGTAAGAATGTCTCAAATTTTGGTCATTTCCTTAACCGACCAGTCTAATTTCTCTAAATTTGTACATCAGAATGTTCCAACGAGAACTGAACAATTTCTTCTAGAGAATTCAAAAACGGTACCATGAATGAACTGTTTTTTGAATGGAAAACCAGTGATTTTTGCTATTTTCTTGTTGTTTTCTACATTAATTCTCAATTTTTCTGTTTCATTTTTTGTCTATTCGAGGCTCTTGAATTTTCGCTTTCTTCTAAATTTCTCTGAATAGAGAAAAATACCAATTTTGTCTCAATTTCTTTTAAATCTCTCTCCTTTATTTCTGATTTTTTTTTGCTCAAATTTTGTCTATTCCTGGCTCTTGAATTTCTCGAACAAAAAAAGAATTCAAGAGCCTGGAATAGAAAAAATATGGATGATCACTTATGTATCAATTTTTTCCCAACTTTTCTTACTCTTTTCTCTATTTCTCAATTTTTCCATCTCAATTTTAAATTTATGTTCATTCCCGGCTCTTGAATTTATCAAAAAATAATTCAAGAACCTGGAATAAAAAAATTATGTCCATAAATGTCCTCTTATTATGTATAATATAGTTTCGCTCATCGATATCGATTCAAAAACACAATATATGGATGCGATTCTTTTCGTATCGATACTTCATCTAGCAAAATGTTGCTTATGTCGCGTAAAATTAATTTAGAATAATATCAATATAGATATCGTTTTGATTTAGGGCGTATCCATATTTTGAAAAGGAAAAGGATAGTCAAATTGATATTCAAGATTTTCTCATATAATGCCATTTTTCATCGAATTAATTGAAATTTCAGTATGATGAGCACCTTTTCTTCCCCTTTCCACTTGAAAAGTTTCACACACTTTTTCCATCAACAATTTGTCAAGAAATTATCAAAATATGAAAGAGTGCATTTGTCTTGATTTGGGTTTTTTCAATTTCTCTCCAAGATTTTCTCATGATGCTATTTTTCTTCAAATTAATTTGAAATTTCAGTATGATGCGCTTCCTTTCTTACTTTTTCTACTTAAAAAGGTCCACATTTACTCAACAATTTGTCGAAAAAACATTAAAAACTGAAGGGGTGCATTTTTCTTAATATGGGTTTTTTCAAGTTCCCTTTTAAGATATACTCATGTTTGAATGAATTGATTCGAAATTTCAGTATCATAAGCTCCCTTTTTTCCTCTTTCCCCTCAGAAAGTTTCACATTTTTTCCGTCAAGAATTTTCCAAAAAATCATTAAAAAGTGGAGAGGTGTATTTTTTTAATTTGGGTTTTTCCAAGTTCCTTTTCAAGATTTTCTCATGTTGCTATTTTTCATCGGATTGATTCGAAATTTCAGTATGATAAGCTCCCTTTTTTCCTCTTTCCCCTCAGAAAGTTTCACATTTTTCCCGTCAATAATTTGTCGAAAAATCATCGAAAAGTGGAGAGGTGTATTTTTATTAAGTTGGGTTTTTTCAAGTTCCTTTTCAAGATTTTCTCATATTGCTATTTTTCATCGAATTGATTCGAAATTTCAGTATGATAAGCTACCTTTTTTCCTCTTTCCCCTCAGAAAGTTTCACATTTTTCCCGACAACAATTTGTCGAAAAATCATTAAAAAGTGGAGAGGTTTATTTTTTTAATTTGGGTTTTTCCAAGTTCCTTTTCAAGATTTTCTCATGTTGCTATTTTTCATCGAATTGATTCGAAATTTTAGTATGATAAACTCCCTTTTTTCCTCTTTCCACTCAAAAAGTTCACATTTTTCCCGTCAACAATTTGACGAAAAATCATTAAAAAGTGGAGAGGTGTATTTTTTATTAATTTGGGTTTTTTCAAGTTCCTCTTCAAGATTTTCTCATATTGCTATTTTTCATCGAATTGATTCGAAATTTCAGTATGATAAGCTCCCTTTTTTCCTCTTTCCACTCAGAAAGTTTCACATTTTTTCCCCGTAACAATTTGTCGTAAAATCATTAAAAAGTGAAGGGGTGTTTTTTTTTTAATTTGGGTTTTTTCAAGTTCCTTTTCAAGATTTTCTCATATTGCTATTTTTCATCGAATTGATTCGAAATTTCAGTATGATAAGCTCCCTTTTTTCCTCTTTCCACTCAAAAAGTTCACATTTTTCCCGTCAACAATTTGTCAAAAAATCATTAAAAAGTGAGAGGTGTATTTTTATTAATTTGGGTTTTTCCAAGTTCCTTTTCAAGATTTTCTCATGTTGCTATTTTTCATCGGATTGATTCGAAATTTCAGTATGATAAGCTCCCTTTTTTCCTCTTTCCACTCAGAAAGTTTCACATTTTTCCAGTCAATAATTTGTCGAAAAATCATCGAAAAGTGGAGAGGTGTATTTTTATTAATTTGGGTTTTTCCAAGTTTCCTTTTCAAGATTTTCTCATGTTGCTATTTTTCATCGGATTGATTCGAAATTTCAGTATGATAAGCTCCCTTTTTTCCTCTTTCCACTCAGAAAGTTTCACATTTTTTCCAGTCAATAATTTGTCGAAAAATCATCGAAAAGTGGAGAGGTGTATTTTTATTAATTTGGGTTTTTCCAAGTTCCTTTTCAAGATTTTCTCATGTTGCTATTTTTCATCGGATTGATTCGAAATTTCAGTATGATAAGCTCCCTTTTTTCCTCTTTCCACTCAGAAAGTTTCACATTTTTCCAGTCAATAATTTGTCGAAAAATCATCGAAAAGTGGAGAGGTGTATTTTTATTAATTTGGGTTTTTTCCAAGTTCCTTTTCAAGATTTCTCATGTTGCTATTTTTCATCGGATTGATTCGAAATTTCAGTATGATAAGCTCCCTTTTTTCCTCTTTCCACTCAGAAAGTTTCACATTTTTTCCAGTCAATAATTTGTCGAAAAATCATCGAAAAGTGGAGAGGTGTATTTTTATTAATTTGGGTTTTTCCAAGTTCCTTTTCAAGATTTTCTCATGTTGCTATTTTTCATCGAATTGATTCGAAATTTCAGTATGATAAGCTCCCTTTTTTCCTCTTTCCACTCAGAAAGTTTCACATTTTTCCAGTCAATAATTTGTCGAAAAATCATCGAAAAGTGGAGAGGTGTATTTTTATTAATTTGGGTTTTTCCAAGTTCCTTTTCAAGATTTTCTCATGTTGCTATTTTTCATCGGATTGATTCGAAATTTCAGTATGATAAGCTCCCTTTTTTCCTCTTTCCACTCAGAAAGTTTCACATTTTTCCAGTCAATAATTTGTCGAAAAATCATCGAAAAGTGGAGAGGTGTATTTTTATTAATTTGGGTTTTTCCAAGTTCCTTTTCAAGATTTTCTCATGTTGCTATTTTTCATCGGATTGATTCGAAATTTCAGTATGATAAGCTCCCTTTTTTCTCTTTCCACTCAGAAAGTTTCACATTTTTCCAGTCAATAATTTGTCGAAAAATCATCGAAAAGTGGAGAGGTGTATTTTTATTAATTTGGGTTTTTCCAAGTTCCTTTTCAAGATTTTCTCATGTTGCTATTTTTCATCGAATTGATTCGAAATTTCAGTATGATAAGCTCCCTTTTTTCCTCTTTCCACTCAGAAAGTTTCACATTTTTCCCGTCAATAATTTGTCGAAAAATCATCGAAAAGTGGAGAGGTGTATTTTTATTAATTTGTGTTTTTTCAAGTTCCTTTTCAAGATTTTCTCATATTGCTACTTTTCATCGAATTGATTCGTAATTTCAGTATGATAAGCTACCTTTTTTCCTCTTTCCCCTCAGAAAGTTTCACATTTTTCCCGTCAATAATTTGTCGAAAAATCATTAAAAAGTGGAGAGGTGTATTTTTTTCATTTGGGTTTTTTTCAAGTTCCTTTTCAAGATTTTCTCATATTGCTATTTTTCATCGAATTGATTCGAAATTTCAGTATGATAAGCTCCCTTTTTTTCCTCTTTCCACTCAGAAAGTTTCACATTTTTCCCGTCAATAATTTGTCGAAAAATCATCGAAAAGTGGGAGAGGTGTATTTTTATTAATTTGTGTTTTTTCAAGTTTCTTTTCAAGATTTTCTCATATTGCTACTTTTCATCGAATTGATTCGTAATTTCAGTATGATAAGCTCCCTTTTTTCCTCTTTCCACTCAGAAAGTTTCACATTTTTCCCGTCAATAATTTGTCGAAAAATCATCGAAAAGTGGAGAGGGTGTATTTTTATTAATTTGTGTTTTTTCAAGTTTCTTTTCAAGATTTTCTCATATTGCTACTTTTCATCGAATTGATTCGTAATTTCAGTATGATAAGCTACCTTTTTTCCTCTTTCCCCTCAGAAAGTTTCACATTTTTCCCGTCAATAATTTGTCGAAAAATCATTAATAAGTGGAGAGGTGTATTTTTTTCATTTGGGTTTTTTTCAAGTTCCTTTTCAAGATTTTCTCATATTGCTATTTTTCATCGAATTGATTCGAAATTTCAGTATGATAAGCTCCCTTTTTTCCTCTTTCCACTCAGAAAGTTTCACATTTTTCCCGTCAATAATTTGTCGAAAATCATCGAAAAGTGGAGAGGTGTATTTTTATTAATTTGTGTTTTTTCAAGTTTCTTTTCAAGATTTTCTCATATTGCTACTTTTCATCGAATTGATTCGTAATTTCAGTATGATAAGCTACCTTTTTTCCTCTTTCCCCTCAGAAAGTTTCACATTTTTCCCGTCAATAATTTGTCGAAAAATCATTAAAAAGTGGAGAGGTGTATTTTTTTCATTTGGGTTTTTTTCAAGTTCCTTTTCAAGATTTTCTCATATTGCTATTTTTCATCAAATTGATTCGAAATTTCAGTATGATAAGCTCCCTTTTTTCCTCTTTCCCCTCAGAAAGTTTCACATTTTTCCGTCAATAATTTGTCGAAAAATCATTAAAAAGTGGAGAGGTGTATTTTTTTTAATTTGGGTTTTTTTCAAGTTCCTTTTCAAGATTTTCTCATATTGCTATTTTTCATCGAATTGATTCGAAATTTCAGTATGATAAGCTCCCTTTT